TATATATATATAAAAAATAACTCTCTGCAAGTGGAGGGAAAGGAACATAATGAGAAAAGTTTCTTTAAAACACAGAACAAAACCAGCTGGAATTGCTTTTGTTTGTTATTACTGAAAGACCTTTTTGGAGACCTCGGATCAGATCATGAAGTCTACGAGTCAGTATAAGAGGCAAGGTGGTGAACCCACTTGTGAAAAGACTTCCAGCCAGTTTTATTTAGTAGCTACATAGTTAAGTTGAAAAACTTCAAGCAATTAAGTTCTATTCCTATTACTTGAAAGACTAAAGAGTGACTGTGATGTTGCTGAAGCTCCAATCTGCCTCTTAGGTTTTTCTGCCTTGTGCTCTTGATATTGCAGCCTGATCTACCTCCTAAGTAGCCGATTGAGCTGTATTGCTGGTAAAGCATATCCTGACCTTTTTTTTTACACTGTCATGCCAAATCCTTTACAAATCATGAAGATTTGATTAGGCTTTTTTTTTTTTTTTTTTTAACTAACAAGCCTCTTGGATATTCAGAGATTCCTTCACCTCACAAAAGGGAGGCAAATCATAGTCTTAAGCAGGCAGCTGTGTTGCTGGTGTTCTGCAAGCCAAATACTGAGCAGAGAGTTACAAAGCCTTATTCAGTAAAAGAAAGGGCTGTATGTGAGAGTGAAGGCACAAGGTAAAGAATAATCCCTAAAAGATAGCTTGGAAGACATGCCTAATGACGAGAGTTGGAAATCCAATTTACAGCACGAAAGCAGTTTCTTCTGTTAGAGTTGGCAGGAAATGAAGAAGGCAACACAGAACTAAAACAGGACTTTGGAGAACAACTACTAGAAATATAGATTAAATTGAAAATCTAACATTACACAGTTCAGCCTGATTGAGTAATACTTGAAGTTTATACAGCCAGAAATACTAGACTTTTCTTTTTTGAGGTTGTTTTTTTTCCTAAAATTTGGTGATAGCAATCAGTTTTTATTGTGCACAGATGATATAATTCTCCAGTGAAACTCGTTTACTCTGGTGTGTCTGTTTATTCATGCTCAAAAACTATCCATGCTTGTAGTTTGGCTTGAAAAATAAATTGAAGTGTGCCAGTTGTGATTAGAGTATGCTAAATAAATTTATCCTGATGCATAGTGTAAACATAGTGTGATGGAATGCAAACATTATATGAATTAGTACGGCCTTTCTTTGCTAGCTAATTACAATTGTTACTACTCTAAGTTACTGAATAAAACGATCACTCTAGCAAAGCTGAGAAACGATCTATCAGCTTGAATATATCAGTGGTGTAAGAGAATTGGCTAAAATTCTTTTTAATTTAGAAGTGAGTTTTTATGAACTAGTTTGAGTACAATTCTGTGGCTTTCATTTCTTTTAAACTCTCCACATTTTTACTGGGACCAGAAATATTTAATGTAAGTGATTAATTGAGAGGGAATCCTAGGGGAAAGAAGTGAAAAGTCTTTTTTTAATGCAAAATGTAATTAGTGTTGTAAAATGGAAGGAAAAAACGCATTGTGCAATATCGTTTGTAGAACACTCATGTTTTCAGTACATAGCAACCACCTCAATGAAATTCTACATACATGGGAATGATGCTGATTAGCCACTTTTTTCCAAATATGCTCAACTGCACAAAGAAACTGTTGAATTGCTGAGATTCATTATTCTTAATTTGTGTGTAATGGTTACTGAAATTGATGAATACTTCATAGTCTTAGTGCATGACTCTTTGCTTATAGGATACTGCTCTACAAAAACCAAGAGAAGTTTTCAGGCTTCCTACAGACTTGACAGCGTATGACAATCGCCTGTGTGCCTCGATGCACTTCTCGTCTGCCACGTGGGTCACGCTCTCTGATGGCACAGGAAGGCTCTATTTCATTAAATCAGGCAAGCGTGGAAACACTGCGTCTGAAAAGTGGGAGGTAAGTCTTGCAATGAAATATTTAAGAATCGTACATCTGCCAAATCGTTCTTGTTCTTGCATTACTTAGAATTGCATGTATTTAATGTGAAAAATTAAGCTTTCGATCAGAACTCTATCACTGATACGGGATTGTGTTCAAGTATAAAAATCATTGGTTTTTATGCTAATGGCTAAATTAATGATTTCTATATGCACAAAATGTCTAAAATTCAAGTGTCTGAAAGGGAACAACCTTTTGACTGAAGAAGAGTCTAAGAAAAAGTGAATGTTTCTAACTAGTTGGCTAAGTGTTTGTGTAGCTGAAGTTTTTCTAAAAAGCATTTGACCTTACCCTTCCCTATTCCTATGTGTCTGTCTGGGATCCCCCCCATCTTTTATTGTTTGATATATAAGCTGGCCTGTGGAATAATTTTATTTTATTTTTTTAAGCACTGGAATGATTGTCAACCAAGCTAAAAGTTACTTCCATTTTAACTGTAGATTTCTGGTTTGTGTGACATCTGTCTGTGCAGATGTAATTGTGCTTGAAATCATCACCATTTAATTTGCCACGTCTTAAAAGTACATACACAAAGACTAGAATAAAACTTGAACAAAACTGCTAATTGATAAGCTAATTGATATCTTAGCTTTGATAAGTAACCCTGAGGGTTACTTGCAGAGCAGGTATTGTGTCATTTCTGCCTCTGGTAGAGAAATTCTTCATACTGTGTACTTGGCTCTGGGAAATTATTGGTGCTTAGTATTTTTACTTAAAATTGTTGGATGTAACCAACAATTTTATTAAATTTTTATTTTTTATTAAATAGTGTTTTTTATTAAATTGATTAAATTCTTTACAAAATTAATTCTTTTAGAGTTTTGATAAGGAGCATTTTTTTAGATCTACATCAAAGTGATCTTACTACACTAAGAATGGTATTGGTTGTCCTGCTTGGACACAATACATATAATTTACACTTCTGCCTGAGCTTCTATGAGTCTCGTAGTCTGTGGTTAGTTCCTCTTTATTCATGAAGGACAAACTTAGTATGAAGTGCCTACATTTTGCATCTGTTTTCTTTATCAGAGGTCAGTATCCTAAGCAGTGAAAGAGGTTTTAGTATTGGCAGGAAGTCGGGTATATATCCCGTAGTGGAAGATCTCAGCTTGATGGATGAGTTCCTTCCCCTACACCTTTTGAGAGTTCAGTATCTAAGAAAGTGGTCATCCTGTTCTTTAGATGGTTGTTAATAAACATAACTGTTTTTTATTCTGTTCTTTGTGAGGATGCTGACACATAAGTTGCATTGGAGCTGTCAATGTAACAAACACGTGATCCCTAAATGGTGACAGAACTTCAACATATAAATTCACTTTTTGAGTAGTTTACAGCATGTGGTTGTTTACAGTGACATTAAACCCTATCTCCATAAGTCCTAAACCTTACTAGGTTTCAGTAATAGCAGCTGGATTCAGCTTATACTTGTTCAGCCACTGCAGCTTGAATTCCTTGTCATTTAGGCTTTCATTTTTATGTATTAATGTTCTAGAAAATAAAGACGTTTAGTTTCTTCTTCTCTGCTCTTTTGATGTATTTTGGTTTTATCTTGGGGCTTTTGCTTAATGTACTTTTAGAGAAAAGCTGAAATACATAGTTTCTAGAATTAAAACTTATAGCTACAGGTACCAACTGCTAAATGTCTCAAGCTACAACATGTGCAGTCCTTCTGTATGGAATTATTTAATGTTTATAGTGGTGCATATTAACCTTGAGAGTATGACTGTAATATTTAAGTACTCTTGTCTACCCAGTCCCACCCAAATATTGGATGGACTTTTCCAATATGTATACATAAAAATTCAAACCTTTCTAATCCTAGCTCCTCCTAAGCATGATTATACTCCTTCAGTTAGTTATGGGGTTTTGCTTCTTATTTCACTTCATAAAATTTTATGGAGAAGGAAAATTGAATCTCTTTGTAAAAATGGTAACCAGAGAGAATGCCACTGCCCTCAGTGCTGGTTGATGATTAAACACTGGCAGTGATGCCTTCGACCTTTTTGTTTTCTTGTTTGCACATGTTAAGGTTTACAAATATTTTAAGGATGTTGGGGTGTCTAGAGCAGTAGGGAGGGCCTTGGTGAGATGCCCACGTGTTCATCTTGACTGTGAGACTGTTCCCCCTGTCAATGTGCTGTGTCGGTGCATTCTGTTCTGTTAATGCGTGGATGGACCTCTACTCATTGTAGCAGTAAACAGCAATAACGGAGATGGTTTTGTGGATCTTTGTGCTTTATTTAATGGGCTGTTATAATGATTATATAGTAAAAACAATAATGGTTAAAAGCATTTCAATACAGTGGCTTGATAGCCAAGGAAGGTGCAACCAGAAGTGTAGGACGTTCATGGATTTGTGTTGGCAGAGATGTTTCTGGGAAGCAAACTTTTAACTGATTTGACATTCGCTGAAGCCTTTCACTGCTTTATCAGAAGGAGCAAGACTTCCAGTTTCAGCTACACTACTTTTTACTACCATTTTGTCTTCTAGATCATGTTTAATGAAGAACTAGGAAATCCATTTATTATAGCCCACAGTGTTTCATTTGTAAAATCTGGTGTGCATTCAGTAGCTGTGCTGCTGCTTAGGGTAGAAAAAGATGAACTGGACACAAAAGGAAGTGGATTTCATGTTACCTTGGAATGGCTTACAGTTGCAGAGATAAGCAAAGAGGGTAAGTGGTTTATATTTTTTATTACTGGTGAGTAATGTTTTAAAAAAAAGTCAAACTTTTATTCTTTGTCTTAAAATTTGATTGTTCCTCAGGTTCTGATACTTCCTTTCCCCAAAGCTTCAGCTTGGATTTTACAAATGTAATTTTTTCTTACATTATAAGATCGAGTTGTTGTAGACCTAATTTCTGAACAAACATTTGGAAGACAGAAGTAATGTTTTATACACGGGCAGTCAAGGTAATTACGAAGCAAGACAGAACTTTGTGACTTTATGAAATACAATTTCTGTTTGTCTTGCTCTTGTAAATGGAGGCTGTACAGAACTTCTTAACTAATGTTTGTTGTATTTATCAAAATGTTGTACAGGTATTACCATGTTGCGTGGAGTCTTGTGACAGTGTAGGTCTCTTACTCTGTCTCTAACTAGAATGATTGAATCTCT